CCAAGTAGTCCCTCTGCATTGCACTGTGTTTCATGCTCTGGGATGGCGGGTTATCAAGCCCTGGCCGTGATCTACCTGTTACCTGGCTGAGATCTACTGCTTGCTGACCCCCGCCTTAGACCCTGCACTATTGCACTGCCTTCGGGGTATTCTCATTTATTTGAATGGGTCACGTTCAACAGGCGGTACTGCTCATTTGAATGCAATAAACAGGATCGTTTTTTGTGTCACAGAGAGATACTACACCTAGATGAAATCGCCACGGAGGCGGACAGATGGTACTTCTGCTCAAAGCGTCTTCCCAACTCTGAAGCAACTTGAAAGTAAGGGCTCATTCACACTATGATTCAGAGATGTCAGTTTTTCTGCACGCGTTCTGCAAGGTTCACACCACAGCTCTGGTATCACATGCAGATTTTTTCTGCATAGAAATCTACAACATGTATAAAACTCATTGAAACGTGCATGAAACTGATGTCTCTGCAAGTGAAATCCTTGTGTCAGTTTCAGTCAGTTTTTCTGCAGTATGGTGTGAGCGGCGCATAAGTAGTTAGGAGCTGGCAACTCGTCTTTCTGCAGAATTACTTTATTACATCGAGTAGAGTGCACATGTAAAAGTTGCTGACGCGTTTCAGCAATAAGCCTTAACCACTTCATGTCCGGACACTATCACCCCCTTCCTGTCCAGGCCAGTTTTCAGCGCTATCACACTTTGAATGACAATTGCACAGTCATGCGACACTGTACCCATATTAATTTTTCAGCATTTTTTTGAGACAGATAAAGCTTTATTTTGGTGGTATTTATTCACCACTGGGATTTTAATTTTTTTTGCTATGTAAATGAAAGTCCAAAAATTTTGAAAAGTGTTTTTCCTATAAAATTTTGCAAATAAATAGTATTTCATCATAAATCTTGGCCAAAATGTATTTCGTTCTCTTTTTAGTAAAAAAAAATAACCCAAATTAGTTTATAACCAAAAATTAAAAATTTTAAACTTTTTTTTACATTTTTATTTTTTTTTTATATTATTTTTATTTTTTTTTTTTTTAACATACTGTCACCCTAGCAGTACAATGTCACCATGGTGACACTGTACTACTTGTAGGGGGTGATGAAGATTTTTTTTTTTTCTTTTTACACTGATTGCTTTTATACCCATAAAGACTGTAAAAGCAATCATTTCTCCTTCTCTCTGGCTGCATTCTTGCAGCCATTGAGGAATACTGTGAGAGCTGTGATTGGTCACAGCTTGTCACATGATACAAGGCTATTGTGAATAGCCTTGTACCATGTGACCTCTGTGATCATTCACAGATTTCACACGTAGTAAGCAATGATGTCAGAAGTGACATCTTGCTTACTACTCTGCATGTGATCAATGATTGGCCAATCAGTGATTACATGATCGGGACCTCACACAGAGGTCCCGTCCGACGTTCGGAGGACACAGCGGGTACCGGATCGCGGTGCTGCGCGCTCCCAGGGCCACCCGACCCTGCAGTGCCACTGTCCGGCCGTTTTTATATGCAACGTCCGGTCGGGAAGTGGTTAATACAGATAGCAGTGGGCAGGACTGGATGTGCCCAGGTGCTGATTTACAAGCTACCGATTTGTGACTCAGTTGTTTATAAATGGCCACCCGACCCTGCAGTGCCACCGTCCGGCCGTTTATATACAACGGCCGGATGGGAGGTGGTTAATCCTAGCCATGGCTAAGGTTAAGGATTATTGCCAAAACGCGTAGACCCAGTTTAACTCTACACTCTGCTTGATTTAATAAAGTAATTTTTCGGAAGGACGAGTTGCCGGCTCTTCACTCCTTACTTTCATAGTTTTTGCTGTGCCTAAGTCAGCAGTCACACAGCTGCGATTTTGTATGCAATTTCAGGTGTGATTTTTTTGAAGACTTTATTGCTACTTGTGAAGTTTTGTTGCAATTTGCAGTGCGATTTCCATTGTATTCTATGTATGTGAAATCGCAACAAAACTGCAGAAAAAGTAATACAAGAACTACTTTAGAAATCACGCTGCAGCAAATCGCACATGTTAAGACACTGACATTCACATTCATTAGATGATATTTAAATTCCTAAATCTTACCTGTATGACCAGGTCCTAAATGCAAAGCATCACAGCCGCAGCACATGTACACCCCCCTCCACTGCCTTTGTAACTGAAGGGGGAGTAGTTGGGGGCAGTAAAAACATGGCTCAGCTGTGTGTTTTTACCTCCCCCAAACCACAAGTTAAAATGAGCCCTTAGAGATGATGGAAAAAAAGCGTTTTTTTTTTTTACCCTCCAATGCTGCCTGCCAACACGCTAAGTAATTAGAACAATGGCAGGTGGACAGAACAGTATACACCTGTACGTTAATGTTGCGTTGTATGAAGAATTATAGGGCATGTCATGTTCTCTAGGCTTTGCTGCAATTTACCATCTCCATTGAAATGAATAGTAACACTTCAATATCACTATAGACACATTTTTGATGCATTTTCTGAGGAAACCTGAGCACCAGAGGCGGCATTTGGGCAGCATTTAACGTGATGTAACACATGCAAAATATCTTTTGAACATCGGTAATGCTATAGCAAGTCAACTCACATTGTTATTTTTCCGCATCTTTAAGCCCATGTGCAAGGGGCCTTCGTCTGTAGAGGTATATTTACTATTACTAATATGCATTTCATACCAGCACATGAAAAACTTCCATCTTCACCTGGTCTTTCTTCTGGGTACATGGGATACGCGTGGGAGTCACTGCCGCAGCACAGACCTCTGAAGGAACGGCACGGGTATGCAGTTCCTTCAGAGCTAATGTGCCAGTGACGTCTCCAGCTCCATAGAATATCTCTTAAACTGTACACGTTTAGGAGATCTTCATTTAACCTACAGGTAAACTTTTTATTATAAGCTTACCTGTGAGCTCAAATATATATACAGAGTTTACTACCACTTTAATACAGTGATCAGTGACAATACTACACTGTCACTGTACTAATGACACTCTCTGGGAAAGGGTTAACATTTAGGGCGATCAAGGGGTTAAATGTGTGCCTAATAATGTATAATATGTGTAAAGTGTGCTGTTTTTACTAATAGATCTTAGTTTCTCATCACTGCTTTGTATAGAGAGATTGTTCCCTCTGTACAGAGCTCTGTGTTGATTGTCAACAGAGAGCTCTGGGCTGTGATTGTACACAGCCGATCAGTGCAGGTTCTATCTGTGATTTATTGGCCAGGCCTTGCTGACAGGCTCCCACTGTGTTGAATCACAGCTGGTGGCGGCGGGTGTGCATGCCCGAAACCTGGAAGAAGGCAGCGACGTATGGGCACATTGCTTTCCCTGTGCAGGCTTCCTCTCCGCAGTACATTGGGGGGCGGATGGTCCGCAAGTGTGTAAATAAACCATAAAAAAGAATGGCAATTTACATTGTGAAGGGAGGAAGCAGTTTAACCTCTTCACGCCGGCCGAAAGCAAATGTGTGGCCTCCTGGTGTCTGGGCTTAGACACTGAGCAGACGCACATTTGCTTTCTATTAAAAAAGGACATGTGCCAAGAGAGCGCGCCCTGTGCGCTCCCAGCACACATGTCCGGTACTCACGGAAAGGTCCCGATCTCCTCTTTCAATCAGGACCTTTCCCAATCATGTGACCGCCATGACGGCATGTCACGGCGGTCACATGACCCTAAACCCCCCCCACCTCCCGGCTTCTGAAAACTCTTAAAGGGCTGGGAGGCGCTGGCATGAAGGGGTTAGGGAGCTGAAGTGAATCTGGAGGGTGAAAGTCCAATTGAAAGTGGTTGTAAACCCTCATATACTGTATACCCAGTGTAGAGACTGGCCTCAGGTGATACACAGGGATGAAACATATCCTCCTTCATAAGGTGTACCTGTTTACCTATAGTCGTCTTTCCTCTACATCCAAAGTGCAGAATTAACACAGGATTTCTCAGTGTTTTGAAGCATGGGGCAGTGAGCTGAAGTTACATCAGTGAGTAGAGCTTTGAGAGCTGATTGGAGGTGAGTGACACACTCCTCCCTCCACACAGAAAAAGAGCTGAGGCTGTCAGTCACAGGCTGTGCCCTCCCCTGTCACCATTTGTCTTTTGGTGTCATCAGCAGTGACTCCTATAGCAGTGATGCTTATAGCAGAGGAATAAGGCAGCAGACAGCAATGACACTTGGTGCTTTGGATTGAGACAAGCACATACTATAGAGGGCTTTGTTCATATTTCGTGTCAGAGGCTTACAACCACTTTAAGTTTTAAGTGGTAGTTAAAAATGCTCAATTTTTACCATAAAAAATCACTGTAAGAGCTGTAGCAATACAGTGCTGTTCACTTTGAATGGCATCCAACACAGCCTGTCAATTGCCGTGTTGCAGCGGACTAATATGCTTTTCGGTATGCTGCCATAAATGCTCCATGTGCCTTATTCGGTGCATTAACCTGTGTTGCATTACCGCTGGGCTGCTTAGCGCATACCATTAGCACAGCACAATAATGTGATTGGGTCCAAAAACCTCTTGCTTGGTAAACATACATTTACAGAAAATATAGTGAAACACATTGTAATATTTCTACTGTTTCCTTGTAATTTTTTACTAATGCTTTTACTTCTGTTCTTCTAGTAGTGCCCTTTAAAGGATGGATTTTTTCATCTCATCATACTCGTCTTCTGCAGCAGTTGGATGAACAAAGAAAGCGAGACTTGTTTTGCGACTGCCACATCACAGTAGAAGGGCAGACATTTAAAGCTCATCGTAATGTTCTGTTCGCAAGCAGCGGATACTTCAAGATGTTGTTGTCCCAAAGTTCCAAGGATATCAGCAAACCCACAACTGCCACTTTTGACGTATTTTCTGCTGACACCTTCACTGCCATCCTGGATTATGTGTACTCTGGCAAATTGCCTCTGTCTGGGCAGAATGTCATTGAGGTCATGTCAGCAGCTAGTTACCTGCAGATGACTGATGTTATCAGTGTATGTAAGATGTTTATCAAATCTTCACTAGACATTAATGAAAAAGACAGAGATGGTTTTTTTAGTCTGTCTGACAAAGACAATGGCAGTAATGGCACTGGACTTTATGCAGCAGGATGGAGGACGGAATACAGTCCAACGCACATTCATGAAGCAGCAGAGCACAGTGGCTTTATTGCAGGATACAATTACCCTCCTCCTATCACTTCACGTTTACAGCGGCCTTTTACTAAACATTTACGCAAACCAGAGCATGTCCGCAAGCACCGTAGACGTTTGCTGCCAGAGCCATCTGTACCACTAGGTGATCTTGTGGGTGGCACTGCTGAATGCATAGTTCATGAAGATGAAAGCACACTACAGGAGGAAGATTCACAACCTCCTGAAGATATGGTGTGTCCTAAAATTGAGGAAGAGGAAGAAGGTGATACAGCACAAAGCTGGCCGGAATCACCCCAGCATGGAGAATCTGGGGAGCAGGACAGCATACCACGGGTTTCAAAGGCAGATGAACTGTACAAAGCAATGCCAACCATCTTAGGTGTCATGTCTGGGTGGACTGAAGGTGAGATAAGTATATCCCTAAACCTACAGTTTCATTTACATGGCTGTGTGATTCTGCTTTTTGTCTGTCTCTAACACCTGGCAATTAATTTCAAAATTGTTTTCCATAAGATTATATGGGTCTTTGATGTATCTTATGCATTTTTTATCTGTTAAAATCCCCCTTGTGTAGCCATCCATAAGCCCTGAGACCTCTGGGTGTTGATATCTTGGATGTGATCTCAGCACCAGTAAACTCTGAGCTGTTACTCAAGTGACACTATGTAGTATTCTGCATCACTTCTCTCCCAGAGGCTACATAAATGTTATAAGGGGAGGGGCAGAGATGCTGGGTCAGCACAGAGAGTCATTTGAGACTCTTAAAAGAGGAAAGGGCTAGCACAGCTATGCTCATCCAGGGTTCCTCCAGAAGCTGCTAGGAGTTCCTTCAGATGTGACCTGATTGACCTGCCATTTGATGGTGTCTGCAGAGTTCCAGGGTCAAAACTACATGGAGGAGTCAGCAGCATCACATCAAGGATCTTTTTAGCCATCGGAAAGGGTGGCATTATGACTACCACTGTAGGGGGGGGGGGGCATTCTTCTCACTGGCCACCAATGTAAGGTATGATTTTCCACTGTCCCCTGATGAATTGGATTTAGCAAGGGGTACTCCAAGACCAGAAAATTATTTCAAGGGTTTCTCTGAGGTGAAAAGATTGAGAAAGGCTGGGCTAGGATGTGCAAAAAGTGAGGAGCTTTGTTAGGGAATTCTACAGCAGTTAAAGCGTTCCACTCAAAAGCGGAAGCTTTGCTTATTTGCCTCCTCTCCCCCCTCCACTGTCATATTTGGCACCTTTTGGGGGGGGGGGGGGGGGGAGCTGGTACCTGTTTTTGACAGGTACCCTCTCCCACTTCCGGCTCAGTTTGCCACGGCGAAGTTAGCTGGATGTTCAACTCCCTCCCACAGTCTCCTGGGAGCTTTCACAGGACCCAGAAAACTGCCAGACCAATAAGGAAGCGCAGTGTGACTCGCGCAGGCATGCGCAATGGGTACCTGGTTGTGAAGCCGCAAGCTGTCACAGCCTGGTGCCCACAGTCGAGATGCCGGCGCTTTGGAGGAGAGAAGGGGAGTAGGGACGGCGTGGGTGAGCACATCGCTGGACTCTGGGACAGGTAAGTGTGTGTTATTAAGTCAGCAGCTACAGTTTTTGTAGCTGCTGACTTTTAATAAACACAAAAACCGCTAGAACTCATCTTTAAACTTTCTAGTAAGTTCAAAGAAACATTGCAAGTTATTTTGCTTTTTTCTTTTGAGCTGCCTGACTCTTGCAGTGAACCCAAAGCAAACCAACCCAGCAGTATTTCACTATTTACTAAACAGGAATGATGCATCTGCAGACTACTCAGTTATAAGAAAACAATACATACAGAGTGCTACACATATGCATACATAAACATGTACACGCTATCTGTCTTTTCCTAGTAAATGAACATTGGCAATAGTATGTATGCAACAAGGATAAACTAGGGGCCTGTTCATATCAGCACCTGATGTGCGCTGTGAGATACCAAGCCAATCGCTGATTACAGCGCATCACACTCTTTACTTTTTTTTTTTTATTCACAGAACTGTACTAAAATATGTCACAAGTAACTTTTCAATAGAGCTCTAATCACCACAGCAGCATTGTAATGATGTGCTTTGCATTGCAACTGATTTGTGCTTAAAGTATGTAGTTACTTTCCTCAGCAGTGCTGTGGTGGGAACTGACTACATAGGGAATAAGGCACTGTGCCTTGTGTTTGCATTGTCTATACTGTGCTGGGAGCAGCAGCCAGAGTAGCCTCTATGCATGTGGTGTGAAAGGCCCTTAAAGTCACACAGCTTCCATTATAGCTAGTCCACAATTTCCTTTGGGTACAGGACTCCTGCATGAAGTGACCTTGGCAGTCTTTCACTCTTGTAGTGGAGTTTCAATGTTGTCCCATGATGGTGTCCTGCTTTCAACTTTGGTAAAAGGGGAAAATGTGTCAAAGATGGGCCGTCTACACGCGGAGACTATAGTATGTGCGTGCTAAGGCTGTGTGAATTTAGTTTTTGATCGGTGAATGCACTGGTGTGTGGATGCTTTGCTTATTTTAAAACTGTTTTCTGAATGAATGCAAAGTGTTTTATGGTTTGATGAGGTGGATGGTGTGACATCACCACTCTGCCTTGTCCCATCAGAAAATGTATTGCATTCATTCAGAAAATGCAAAGCATTCTCCGAATGGCACCAGTGCTGACTGGTGATCTCCAGTATTCAGAACGCATCAGGCTGGAAGTTCAGCACGGGACCTGGAAGCAAATGGAGATCACTGAAGTAGCGGTGTTTACTTCAGTGATTTCCAGCTTCCAGGGACATTGGCCAGGTATGGTATATACTTTACATAGTCACATTGGTCCAAGCTAGACCAATGCAACCATGTAGAAATTAACAATGCCTGGAATTCAGCTTCAACAACCAACAAAAATTTTTGTTTCTTGCATCATTACAGGAAAAAGGTAAATTGTCCATACAGTAACATAATGCAAACTGTTGGCGCTATATAAATCCTGTATAATAATAAATAATTCTGTTTTTACAGATGACTTAAGTCCTGTAAGGTTTAAATGTCCCTTCTGTACACATACTGTGAAGCGCAAAGCAGACCTTAAACGTCATCTGCGATGTCACACTGGAGAGCGCCCTTATCCATGTGAAGCATGCGGGAAGAGGTTCACACGGCTGGAGCACCTGCGCAACCACTTTCAAACTGTATGTATTCAATGTTAACCAAATTACGTCTTTCTGTTAAGCTCATCTTACCGAACATTCATATACATTTAAGAAAACAAAAAAAAGGACCACAAACATTACTTTCTCTTCAGTATATCCATACCTGTCATTGCAACGCACAAACAAACATTAGCAAGGGAGGCAATTGTATTAGGCCCGGTTCAGTAGTGTGGGCTGAGCAGCCTGCGTTTGCATGGGCACAGCAGCCCATTCATTTGAATGGGCTGCTGTGCCTGTGGTGCGCGCAAGGAAAAGGTGCATGCACCTTTTCTGAAATGCATCCGTATCGAAAACTGCATGGTCTTTTTGACTGTGTGGTTCCCGCACTTGCGATCGTACCAAAATCACACTGCAGGAAGAGATGAGTGGGAGGCCATTCAGAATGAATGGCACCCCTCACAAGAGAAGCGCGATGTGGTTGTGGGAATCAAGGCCCACAACCAGCCCGCAGAGTGAGGGCTAGTGTGAACCAAGCATAATAGGATATCTAAACCCAAATAAAAAAAGTCATGTACTGAAGTTTAACAGAGTTTAGATATGGTGGCTGTATTAGTGTTCTTTTTCACGCTTTTTTAATTTTACCTGGTAATCCTGCAAATAACATACTCCCTGCTTCTAGGCGATTACGCTACTTCCTCCACTGTGTCTATGGAGTCAGACATGTCACATTAGACTGGACTTGTTCACCTCCATTACATGGGAATTTGATGAGATTAGTAGTTTACACAAGAAATATAAGATTATTAAAAGGACACTGCACTTCTAGCAAGAGCCATAGGTATTTTCTGTACTTACTAAAAATGTTCTTAACCTTGAAAATAAAACTAATGCAGCCACCTCAAGGGAGGACCAATAAGCGGCCATGTATCACACTTTTGTTTATGGGCTTAGATATACTTTGAGAAAAGTATAATGCTATTACATACTTCGATTTATTATTGTAGTGCCTACCTTAAAGCGTGGTTGTACAGTATGCATTCTCATTTGTAATTGCTTGCCCTTCAATTTTTTATTTGGTATCACATATAGAGATTTGTAGATTATTAAAAGGAGCTTGTATTTGTCTCATTCAACATACACTCTTCATAAGTGATTATTTTTCTTTTGCAAGTCACAGTATAAAGTGTGTAAAATAATTTTTATTTTTTTTTTAAGTCTTTCTGCATATGCTAAAGCTCAAATAGCACTTCAACTTGCCTCCAGTATTGTTCTTTATTAGAATATATTTGTCAAAAGAACTTATATTCTTTCCTTGTTTTCTGGCAAGAACATATCTGTATGTATTACTTAGCACTGATCCTTTCTTCCCCAACCCTCGACTATCCTAGATACATGAAGCTGGTAAACTTATCTGCCGTCGCTGCAAACTCCCAGTAACTGAGTTGACAGGGCGAGTAATTCAGGATGGGACAAGAAGATATCGTCTTTGTCATCCATGTCTGTCAGAAGCTGGCTTGGATAGCGTCAACTTTGATTTTGGGGATGATCAACCACTGGTGCTCCCACCTGAGAATGAGAGGGAGCAATCCTGGCATTTCAAGGACGATGTGAAAGATGAAAATGGCAAAGAACGTCAAGATTCAGATCTGGTTATTCAGGAAGTAGAAGACAGCGAAGAGGAAGATGTGAAATCTCAAATAACATAAACGTGGAAGTGGGGGATGGACTTTGCTATTCTTTGTGTACAGAATATTTCTGGGAGTGAGATGGTGATATATTTAGTATAGTGATTTTATCTATGTACATGTTTTTTTATTGACATTTGTGCACCATCACACTTTATTTAGCAGCGGACATTTCATTAGCTGCATTCGCATTCATATCATTCATGGCTGCTGTAGCACTTCATTTGTACATACATAGCTTTTTTATTTAGCTCTTGCATATTCTGATATGTTTTCATGAGTGCAAGATGCTGCCTTGCTGTACAATGCATCTGTTTATATTTGAAGCTTTCCATATATTATGAGATGTTAAATATTTCTTAAAGTTTGTGTTATGAAGGATTATAAATTTTACATACATCCCATGTATTGTAAATTCTGATCATTACCCTGCTAGCAATTGTTCATATCTGTATCAACGGACTGTAAACCAACTGAATTACCCTTAGCCCTGGTTCACACCAGTGCGACTTATCATGTGACATAACAGTTCAGTGTCACGTGACAGGTCACACCCCATTTGTGACAATGGAACCCTTCAAACTGATGCGACTTTGAAAAAGGTTTCTGTAGGACTTCATTGTGACTTGTGTTGACATCTGTTCAATGAAGTTGCACAGAGTGTCAGCAAGCCACAAAGAAATCGCACTGAATAGCTTTGAAGTCGTGCTGAGTAGCAGGACTTCAAAGCCACACTGGTGTCAACCAGGGCTCTATATATATTTCTATCTATCTTTCTCATAAGGGTGTGTTATATTATTGCCACTGTATCCTACTGGCCGGCACAGGGCGGTAGACAACCCAGATGATCATTCCACCACTGTTGAAAAACTGAAATGTCAGTTTTAGGCTTCATGCACATTGGATGCTTTGGCCATCTCTCCTAGACACTTTTCCTCCTGGCAGCGGCATTTTGGCAGAAAAAAAAACCCGCTTGACACTTGTAAAAGCATGTAACATATTTTAGATGTGTCAAGTGCTTAGGTGTTAATGCATTTCATTGTCCAAAATAGTAAGTTACTCTGGCCATTGAAATGAATTTAACGCTCAAGCGTTAAAACACACCTACTGTTTACACACATCAAGGATTTTTGTGCCAAAACGCTGCTGCTCCTGGATGTGCTGGCAGTATTTTTTTTTCTGCCTGTAAACACAAGCTAACATGCAGGGAAAAAAAAAAAAACCACACTAACAGAAAAAAAAAAAAAAAGCACCATTAAACATCCCAGGTGCATGAGGCCTAAAGGGTAGAAAACCCTTAAGCCAGGCTCACATCTGTGTGTTTAGAAAATGCACATTATTGCCATTTATTTGTACTGGCATTGCACCACAGTATTCCTGCTTTCTATTACACTAAAACACACACACACATGGGAACAACCTGAATTATGGTGCACTGTGTTGAAGAAAGAAATAGGTCTACTAAAACCTGCATGTTACAGACACACACACACACACACTTTTGCTTTGTGTATTAATGCTAAAGCCACAAGTTATCACTAGGAAAACACAAAAAAAAAAAATCTGTACACAGTTGGCTAAAAATAATTTTAATTATAAATCAGTCCTATATATATATATTTAATTGCTAAGAGCAAGTGAATGCAACACCTGCTACAAAACAAATTTGGTTTCAAGTGCAAACGTAAAAGCATCATATAATCTTCCATATGAATTCTTGTAGTGTGACAGCTAGGATGTAAACAATATTTCCATGACAAAGCATTCTTTTCTTTCCAAATGGGAATTGCTTCAGAGATACATAAAAAATCATTGCTTTTAAAGTATACTTGTCATGGGTGGAACACTGAGGCTACTATTGTCGTCTGCTTTTACAATTGCTATATGTGTAGCTTTCCTGCTGATTCATTTGCTTTCGTTATTTTTGCAATACTAAACTGGAACAAGTATGCACAGCAGGAGATTTGACTTCACCTGCTGCATCCTTGTTTTTGGTCAGTAACTCAAAGTATTGAAAGTCATGAAACGACAATTTCCAGATGGTTAGCAATGGCAGCCTAAATGTTCGTCAGTGCAGGTGTACATAAAAATGCAAGGTCTGCTGATCTGGAAGCTCTTCAACCCTTCCTGCTTTGAGTACATTTTCATATAATTGTACGTACTCAGGTTCTCTAGGAGTTAGCAGTGAAGCACGCTAACATCACTGCAGCTTTCAGGAGACATCCAGTTACTGAGGTCAAGGAACAGTTTTTTTTTTTCCTCCCCATTTTCTTAAATTTTTCTTTATTTAGCTTTTATAATTCTCTGTGGGGGGTGAGTGCTCAAAGTTTCACTTTAATGCAGAACTCCAATAGAAAGAAACAAAAAACAATTTCATTAAAGCCAGATATTACTGTGAGTGCTAAAGTTACAGTGAAGGGATCCTATCGTTTACCTCTCCGAATATCTATTCACAAAATACTTTGTATACTGTGAACAAATACAAAGTGCTTTGTGAATGGACAAGGAGAGGAAAAAAAAGGAAAGGTCAATTACATGATCTCTTCACTGTATGAAAGCCAAACAAACATCGGACGTTTGGTGCTGATAACATTATCCAGCATGAATTAAACAAATATTTTTACCTCATGGTTGCCCTAGGTTCGGATGGCTACTGTATATTTTGAAAGGATTTATTTGTACATAAAGTCATAATTTTTTTTTCCTGGAGTTTTGCTTTAAATGTAATGATTCACAAGTTAAATATCAATGATGACAAAAAACTTCAGGCTTTTCCTCTTCCCAGATCTGCATGGCTGAATATGTAATGGCTTTTACCTCAGTGCCCTGTCAAAAGAGCATAATAGAGAATAAGAACACATGAGCCTGTAATTGTATGCATGAATGAATACTCATTTTCTAAGTACCTTTACATGCAACAGTAACAGGTAAATTTACAAAAGTGTAAGGGCATCTATTTTTGCATAACTCTGAAAAAGTATCCAAAACGCAACAAATTGGATTCACATATTATATATAAAAAATGAACATTCCATTCAAAAATGTTTGTTATTTGCACTATTGGAATACTGAGGCAATAGTGATATAAGTGCCAGAATATGTCCACGGGACTCTTACTGTATTACCTTACATGCAAATAAATCTGCGGTTCTATAAACCAGAATAGGAACACTTACCTGGGGGTGTTTGGATAAACTGAATTCTTCCCCCCACCTATGAGAAACAATTTAAAAAAACAAATAGCATTTTTAATAAAAATACTTTTTGTGCTCCGATTTTTAATTTCTTATTAGCAGCAGATTATGGTTCTGTTCTGTTCACACCCACAAATTAAAACCCATGAATTTCTGTGCATGAAATGCATTTTGGTGTTATTAAGGAGGACTATTTAAGGACCCATTCACACCTATGATTGTGTATTACCATGTGTGCATAGGTATATGTATGAGTCCTAACAAATCAAGTGTTTGTTAAGAAAATATAAATCTTTCATCCACCGCTGCCCTTAAAGTGGAGTTCCACCTGAAGAAAAAAAAAAAAAAAAAAGTTATCAGCTACAAAAAGTGTAGCTGCCGACTTTTAAAATACAGACACTTACCTGTCCCTCGGTCCTCCCATCAGTGTCCTCACCGGCTGTCTTCTCTCCCTGGCGCCAGCATCTTCAATGTGGGCACCCGCTGTGACAGTTTGCGGCTTCACAGCTGGGTGCTCACTGCGCATGCGTGAGAAGCGCTGCATTTTGTGAATGGCCCCATAGTCTTTTGGGACCTGTCACATGTCCCAGAACACTACGGAGAGAGGGGGGTTGCCTGGGGAGGACAACTTCCGCTTCTGATCGCAGCGGAAGTGGGAGCGGGTACCTGTCAAATTCGGGTACCCACTTCCCAAAGGCGCCAATCCTTAATGGGGAGTGCTGGACAAAAGCTTAAAGCGTAACTTCCCCTTCTGGGTGGAACTCCGCTTTAAAGTCTTTCAACATATTGGCAATACAGCTATACAACAATCCTAGCCATCTTCCTATTAAATTCCATTAAAAAGCTGTGTGAGCGCTGAGCTGGGATCTAAAGTCAACTGAACTGAAGTGGGCTCGTTTTAAAGCAATACTAAAAAGGTACACGCTGCTCTGTGTACCCATGCACACACGGAGTCACAGCTTGCCCCGCCCCCTCTCCTCAATGGCTCCCGCTTGCCGTCTCAGCCAATGAGGAGGCGGAGACCAGGGACAGCCGAGGCTGTCATGCACACTGCAGGATCTCTATGGGGCTCAGGTAAGTATTGAGGGGGCTGGGGGCACTGCTACACACAGAAGGTTTTTTTTTACCTTCATGCATAGAATGCATAAAGGTAAAAAACCTTGAGTCTTTAGAACTGCTTTAAGGAGAGTAAAGGCCATGTCACACCAACCACAGCTACAAATCTCTGCCCATTTTTTCTGGCAATTTGTAGCTCGCTACAAATTGTTGATGTGCTATGATCATCAGCACTTGCATAAATTAACACAAATGGCTACTGAAGCTGAAAATTCTGTCACCAAGTTAGATGTAGAAAGTCAAATCACTCAGTGAAAGATCTACAAGTCACATGGAATTGCAGAGACACAGACCTTTCACTGACTACAATTAGTCTTTTCCTAACCACAAAAATGCTAAGGCATCACCATGCACAGAGACAATTTGAAGCTTAAAGGCTAAGTCCAGCTTTTTGCAATAAAATAATAAATGCACCTACATTTGCAGAAAAAAAACTGCATTTATTATTTTTTATTTGCATATGAGCCTACAAAGCTTTGCAACTGTGATCAATGGATCATACGTGCAATACCCAGGCTACTGCAGACTCTTCTCCCAGCTCCATGTCTAGGTTGGGACTTTTGGCTATGGAGCACTCAGATTTCATTGATAACTACAAGTCCCAGTGCCGCAGTGTCACGCAAAATTGAAAAAAAGCGATGGCAACCACTGGGAAACGAGGGAAGGTGGTCTGGAACTATGTTACATCCTAAATATGACTAATGTACTATGGTATAAAAGGTGGACCTAGCCTTTAGATATGCTGTACCAAAAAATTCCAGTGTTTTCCCAACCCAGGAAGCCACAGGTAAGGCACGTACAGCCACCCATAGAAGTGAATGGTTATACCTGGTTACTTGGGTATACATCAATGCTATTGCGCACTGGCACAAGAATGTATGATGCTGAAAATCTACATTCAGGGATAAATATACGCGCATGCACTTTATAGTATGCGCGAAAGCTGACCATAGGGCACACCGGGCATTTACCCGCTGGGCTGGTGCCACCTCGATAGGAGAGGTGGCCGTGCAGAACATAGAGGACCGTGCATTTCTCGGTTCCTCTATGTGCCGCCCAGTCGCATCTCCTATCAATCTCCTGCATGCAGCCGGCTCCTGTATGCTCCCCCCTGTGGCCGCCCCTCTTCCCTCATCTCCTCCAGCGGCCCCCTCCCTCCCTCATCTCCTCCAGCGGCCCCCCTCCCTCATCTCCTCCAGCAGCCCCCCTCCCTCATCTCCTCCAGCAGCCCCCTTCTCCCTCATCTCCTCCAGCGGACCCCCCCCCCTCTCTCATCTCCCTCCAGCGGACCCCCCCTCCCTCATCTCCTCCAGCGGACCCCCCCTCCCTCATCTCCTCCAGCGGACCCTACCCTCATCTCCTCCAGCGGCCCACCCTCATCTCCTCCAGCGGCCCACCCTCATCTCCTCCACCTTTCCCCCCCCCCCCCCAATCTCCTCCTTTTATTTATAGTTCTCTCTTTCTCTCCCACTGTCTCGTTTCTCTCCTTTCTTTCTTTCTCTCTCTGTCTCCTGTTTCTCTAATTTTTTTCCTTTTTCTTTCTCTCTCTCCTACTTTTCTTTTTTTATACATCATCTCTCTTTCCCGTTTCTCTTTCTCTCTTTCTTTTTATAGTTCTCTTTTTCTCTCTCCTTTCTTTCGCTCTGTCTCCCATTTCTCTCATTTTTTTTCTCTCTCTCCTACTTTCTTTCTCTCTCTCTGTCTCCTGTTTCTCTTCTTTCTTGCTCTCTTTTTCTTTCTCTCCTTTCTGTCTCTTGCTTCTCTCCTTTCTTTCTTTTTTTAAACATCTCTCTTTCTCTGTCTCCTGTTTAGCTCCTTTCTTTTATTTCCCTTCTTCCCGCTTTCTATACAACTTTCTTTCTCTCTGTCTCCTGTTTCTCTCCTTCCTTTCTTTCTTACCCTCCTTCTATACATCTCTTTTTATTTCTCTCTTTCTGTCTCCTTTTTCTCTGCTTCCTTCTTTCTTTCTATATGTCTTTCTTTCTCTCTCTCTCCTGTTTCTTTCCCTCCTTCTATAGGTCTCTCTTTATTTCTCTCTCTCTCTCTCTCTCTCTCTCTCTCTCTGTCTCCAGTTTCCCTCCTTTCTTTCTTTGCCTCCTTCCTTCCTTTCTTACTCTCTGTCTCCTGTTTCTCTCCTTTCTTTCTCTCTCTCTTTTCCCCCCCTCTCTTTCCTTCTCTCCTTTCTTGCCTACAAAAAAATGTTAAATAATAAAAATATAAAAAAAAACCTACTGACACTAGTGGCGGAATTACCAGGGTCGCAAAGGTCGCTCTTGCGACCAGGCCCTTGTGTTCCACCACTGGGCTCTGAGGAAAGGGTCCCCGGGCTTTGGGCTGCTCAGTCCAAAGTGCCCGGTCCTATTTTTTGTCCCAATCCGGGCCTGACGACTGCTACTGTATAAATACCTAGATATTAATCCATTTTTATGGGAAGATCAATTTTAACAAGTCCACCTCAGTGTAGTAGACCTCAAAAGTATGTTCAGAATTTGGTCATAACTTCTCTATTCTAAAAATGTCCCTGGCAACAACATGAACACAAAGTCCTGTGGGGAGTAGTAACATTATACAAAGCAGTTCTGTTGTGTATAATTTGCATTCGTCTTAGGTTTACTTGATCCTTTTACAATCTCTACAGGAGATTTGGTATGTCAGCATGGGCACTGTGAGCAAATCCAGGGACACTTACTTTGATAAAAACTCAATTTGCATATTTCTGTCTGCAAATGACTAGCAGCAATGAAATCTGAACTGGCAGAATCACTAAATCCTAGAAATGATCTCTATCAATAATAAAGGTAAAATGAATACTTATATTTGAATACTTACTGATTTGCATAGCTTTTTTTTTCTTAAAGTGCACTTAATATTTAATTCCTTCCTGGAGTTCCCTGACAAAGCTTAATACATTTCTTTACGTGCCAAATAGGCAAGTGTCAGCAACTGTTATCTATACATTTGTTTGATAAAAATAAATAAATATCTTACCCAATGGAACGGATTTTAAAACTCATACGATCTATGTGCAGCACCTTTATCTCCTGTATGAGGAAGAAAACCATTAATTTTTTTTAATTCAAATTAACATTAGGGCTTTTACAGCATGAAGAAGCATCTCACCGGGGAACAAAGTACTGGTCGGCACTAAATTTATATAACCACTCATCCAGGAAATTGTAAAGAAGTGAAAGCATGTCTTGCCCTAAGAAAGAATATAGAATCAAATAAGGTGTTTGTATGGCTAGGCATACCCCTTTGTACACAGAACAATTTGGATGTATTACTTGATATAAAACTATTTTGGATGGCCTCACCTTCAATTTCCACTTCTACTGTGTCTATGGGTTCTACCGTTTCAATGTCAGTCATATATCCAAACATTGCCATAGCACATTGCTCAAAAGCTTCTTCTAAGGTTTCTCCCCATGCATGTAGCCTGCATCAGACACAAGAAAGCATGTCTTAGTCAACCAACAAACTATATTTAGGTGAAATTTCTTAGTTCTATTTATGAAACCTTTAGAAGAGATCACATGATTTTTCAGCCAATAAGAAAAAGCCCTTTCGGTTTATCTTCTTTTCAAGCTACTACTGTGCCTGCTATTAGAAGTATAGCAGCACAAGGGCTTTTTACCATTTGTTTCCTGTATGTGACTGGAGTAAAACACACACAAAAAAAAAAAAAAAAAAAAACACAAAAAGCCCATCAAATCTGCTAGGATAGGGTCCAGTTAACTCATGAGAATTGAAAATGGAAACCTGTCTGTTTAGGGGCTGCCACTGCTGATCTCTACCTAAGAATACTAGTACTTTGCCTGGCTTTAGATTTTTTATACCTTTTGAATAACTGTTCTAAACAACTAGAAAGTGGACAAAGATAAAAAAATTAACTATATGATGTGGTCTGTCGCTAGCAGTCACCCCTATAACACAGTTTTATCACCTATTGATCCTGCCAGTATTCTTTTTTCCCAGTACCTTTAACAGGCCAGCAAATCTTTTCTTTCTGCTGAGAAACTTTTGTAACTGTCCTTTTTGCTGGAAAGCTTGGTCTGCATTTAAATATGAAGATCATAAATAAAACAAGATACGAAATACTATTATAGATATAAATCTTTTACAGTTAACAGAAGACAATATTTTTAGTAGGGATGCACCGAAATTTCGGCGGCTGAAACGTTTCGGCAGAAAATACCCCTATCGGCCTTAGGTCGATATGAAAATAGGCACCGATACAGATGCCGAAAATAGTGATAGGAATAGAAATTTAAAAAAAAAATTAAAGAGAGTGTAAAAAAAAATGTAATAAAATAAATTAAAAAATAAAGTTTTTGTAAAGTGCTCACGCTCAGTGGTGAATGCATACGTAGGCCACGCCCACATAGGTAAACGGTGTTCAAACCACACATGTGAGGTATTGCCCCAAAGGTTAGAATGAGAGCAATAATTCTCGCACTAGATCTCTGTAACGTTAAACTGGTGACCTGTAGAAATTTTTAAAGTGTAACCCATAGAGATTTTTTAAGTAACGTGGTTCAGCGCCATTCCACGAGCAAACACAATTTTAAAGCATGACATGTTGGGTATCTTCTTACTCGGCAGAACATCCTCTTTCATACTCAAATGAGGTATATTGTGTTTTTTTTTTTTTTTTATGCACTAAAAAGTGTATTTTTTTCCAAAACCATTGCGTTTGAAAAATATATACATCTTTAAAAACTGTCAATTTAAGTTTTTGGCCAAGTGCATCCTGAATTTTCAGTTTCGGCACCAGAAGTTTCTGGTGCACCACTAATTTTTAGCTATAGTGGCCCTTTAAAATTATTTCCACTTTGGCAGCCAAACCTGAGAAACCCCCACTTTACATTTTGTTGGTCATTTAACAAGTGCCTGGAGTTGGACTATATTTATGAATGTCACAGAAGACAATCAAGATTAAAGATGAAAAAAAGGTGGTATGTTAAAAAAAGTGGGTACATACTGAACATCAGCAGTGTGATCCAAATCTGAAAGAAACAAACAACACATTTATTTACATTGTAGACTTTATGCATCTTACTCCAGTCAAAAGTCTGGTTAACAGCAAACACTAAAGCTCTTTCAAACTAGCAACAATGTTTACCACACCATGAAAAATAATCTGCTGTGGATTGCTTTTCAGAGGATGGCAAAAGTTGGTTTGCAGGCATTTAGGAGGCAATACTGCCGCCTCTGGATTTCTTTTTTTTTTTTAGCGCTGAGCAGTGATTGATTTTGAATTGCAGGACTATGCCTCAACTGCAAGCCAAGCATTTAGCTCAGAGTTGTGGTGCAGTCCCAAACACTTACATTACAGCTCTGCACGTCATGTAAAATTGCTTCGGTACTGTGTACTCACCTGAGCAACACTATGTCCACTCATAGGTGGACAGTCAGAGGTAAGTAAAAACATGGAATATCTCCTTTTTACGGACCTCTGGATACCTGTATGAATGGAGCCTTAAGCTGGCCACATATGGTTTAAATGTTGGGCAGTTCTTGCTGGCCTCACTAGGCTCGACCAAAGTTGATCTAAATAAATCGACTGAGGTGAGTGGAAAACTGTAAACCGAATAGTATCCTATCAGATTTAATCCCTAACAGTACCAGAAGCTGCAGCTGCATGAATACAAAGATGATTCCTCCATCCATGCTGTCTGGTGAAGATGGAGGAATCAAGCCATTTTTTTTCTCTGTTCTTCATAGGCTGAACAGCTAAAATCCAAACCATCTATGCCCAGCTTAAGGCTCTGTTCACACCAAAGTGTTTTTAGTGCGTTTTGTGGAAACGCACTACAATCCATTTAACATGGTTTCCTACAGAACATGTTCAGATCTATGCATTCTTGAGCTGCTGCGTTTTTGGAAAGGGTCAGGGACTTTTTTAAACTGCAGAAAACAGCGTTTTTGCTACAATAGAGTTCAATGGCGAAGCTGCTGAAATGTATGGTAGTGCATTTTTTCTGCGTTTTGCATTTTTATTCTGCCCAGCAACAAAAAAATGACACAAAAAAAAAAAATGAGAGCAGAACAAAATGCGGTAAAAACACGTCAAAACCGCATTTAGAAAAACCCAAAACAAAAAAAAAAACTGCAAAAAGCACTGGAGAAAGCATCAAACGCAAAATGCATATATGTGAACCAAGGCTTGAAGAGAAGTATGGGATTTTTTTTTTTTAATCCTATTTACCTAGGTGGATGCAGCATCAATCCAATGCTGCATCTGTCCCCGCCAGCTCTAAGTCTGAGAACTAAGTGATCAAACACTGCTGATCACTCAGTTCTACCAGCGCTCTGAGTAGAGAGCAGTGACTGCTCTGCCAACCCCCTGCCTCCCCCCGCCAGTGCTCACTGGAGCACTGGGCTGTGGAGGGGGAGGGTGAAGCTGGCTCAGCCTCTCAGCGGCTAATTGAGAGGCTGAGCCAAGTGCCGAATCGGCTCAGTGACGTCAGCCAACAGCAGACTGTGAATTGCGAACAGTGCGAGAATTTATCTGAGCATTCAGGGCTTGACCAGTTCTGTCAAGTTATAAACTGATACATTATTACCGTATATTTGCCAGCGTATAAGACGACTGGGCGTATAAGACGACCCCCTACTTTTCCTGTTAAAATATAGGGTTTGAGCTATACTCACCGTATAAGACTACCCCTCTTCCAACACACACCAAATAAAAATGAAAAAACATCAGATTTGATTTCAATATGGTATGGTATTTCAATATGGTATTCCAATGATGGGGTGCTATTCCTCCCACTGACACCAATGATGGGGCACTACTCCTCCCACTGACACTAATGGTGCCCCATCAGTAGTGTCAGTGGATGAAACAGTGCCCCACCGTTGGTGTCAGTGGATGGGTCAGTGGGGGGGGGGGAATGGCGCCCCATCGTTGGGGTCAGTGGGGGGGGGAGGAATGGCGCCCCATCGTTGGGGTCAGTGGGGGGGGAGGAATGGCGCCCCATCGTTGGGGTCAGTGGGGGGGGGAGGAATGCGCCCCATCGTTGGGGTCAGTGGGGGGGGGGGGAGGAATGGCGCCCCATCGTTGGGGTCAGTGGGGGGGGGGGGAATTGCGCCCCATCGTTGGGGTCAGTGGGGGGGGGGGGATTGGTTGGGGTCAGTGGGGGGGGGGGAATTGCGCCCCATCGTTGGGTGTCAGTGGGGGGGGGGGGGGGGCGCCCCATCGTTGGGGGTCAGTGGGGGGGGGGAATTGCGCCCCATCGTTGGGGTCAGTGGGGGGGGGGGGAATGGCGCCCCATCGTTGGGGTCAGTGGGGGGGGGGGGGGGGGGGAATTGCGCCCCATCGTTGGTGTCAGTGGGGGGGGGGGGAATTGCGCCCCATCGTTGGGGTCAGTGGGGGGGGGGGGGAATTGCGCCCCATCGTTGGTGTCAGTGGGGGGGGGGAATTGCGCCCCATCGTTGGGTGTCAGTGGGGGGGGGGGGGAATTGCGCCCCATCGTTGGTGGGGTCAGTGGGGGGGGGGGAATGGCGTCAGTGGGGGGGGGCGCCCCATCGTTGGGGTCAGGGGGGGGGGGATTGCGCCCCATCGTTGGGGGTCAGTGGGGGGGGGGAATTGCGCCCCATCGTTGGGTGTCAGTGGGGGGGGGGGGAATTGCGCCCCATCGTTGGTGTCAGAATTGCGCCCCATCGTTGGGGGGGGGGGGAATTGCGCCCCATCGTTGGGGTCAGTGGGGGGGGGGGAATTGCGCCCCATCCCAGTGGGGGGGGGAATTGGCCCCATCGTCAGTCAGTGGGGGGGGGGAATTGCGCCCCATCGTTGGGTGTCAGTGGGGGGGGGAATGGCGCCCCATCGTTGGTGTCAGTGGGGGGGGGGGGGGGAATTGCGCCCCATCGTTGGGGTCAGTGGGGGGGGGGAATTGCGCCCATCGTTGGGTGTCAGTGGGGGGGGGGGGAATTGCGCCCCATCGTTGGTGTCAGTGGGGGGGGGGGAATTGCGCCCCATCGTTGGGGTCAGTGGGGGGGGGAATTGCGCCCCATCGTTGGGTCAGTGGGGGGGGGGAATTGCGCCCCATCGTTGGTGTCAGTGGGGGGGGGGGAATTGCGCCCCCCATCGTTGGTGTGTCAGTGGGGGGGGGGAATTGCGCCCCATCGTTGGGGTCAGTGGGGGGGGGAATTGCGCCCCATCGTTGGGGTCAGTGGGGGGGGGGAATTGCGCCCCATTCGTCAGTGGTGTCAGTGGGGGGGGGGCCCCATCGTTGCGCCCCATCGTTTGCGCCCCAGTGGGGGGGGGGGAGGAATGCGCCCCATCGTTGGGTGTCAGTGGGGGGGGGGGGAATTGCGCCCCATCGTTGGTGTCAGTGGGGGGGGGGGAATTGCGCCCCATCGTTGGGGTCAGTGGGGGGGGGGGAATTGCGCCCCATCGTTGGGGTCAGTGGGGGGGGGGAATTGCGCCCCATCGGGGGGGGTCAGTGGGGGGGGGGGGGGGAATTGCGCCCCATCGTGGGGGGTCAGTGGGGGGGGGGGAATTGCGCCCCATCGTTGGTGTCAGTGGGGGGGGGGAATTGCGCCCCATCGTTGGTGTCAGTGGGGGGGGGGGAATTGCGCCCCATCGTTGGTGTCAGTGGGGGGGGGGAATTGCGCCCCATCGTTGGTGTCAGTGGGGGGGGGGGGGGAATTGCGCCCCATCGTGGGTGTCAGGGGGGGGGGGAATTGCGCCCATCGTTGGGTCAGTGGGGGGGGGGGGAATTGCGCCCCATCGTTGGGGTCAGTGGGGGGGGGAATTGCGCCCCATCGTTGGTGTCAGTGGGGGGGGTGCGCCCCATCGTTGGGGTCAGGGGGGGGGGAATTGCGCGCCCCATCGTTGGGGTCAGTGGGGGGGGGTGCGCCCCATCGGGGGGGGGGAATTGCGCCCCCATCGTTGGTGTCAGTGGGGGGGGGAATTGCGCCCCATCGTTGGGGTCAGTGGGGGGGGGGGATTGCGCCCCATCGTTGGTGTCAGTGGGGGGGGGGGGGTCAGGGGGGGGGAATTGCGCCCCATCGTTGGTGTCAGTGGGGGGGGGGGAATTGCGCCCCATCGTTGGGGTCAGTGGGGGGGGGGGGAATTGCGCCCCATCGTTGGGGTCAGGGGGGGGGGGAATTGCGCCCCATCGTTGGTGTCAGGGGGGGGGGGGGGATTGCGCCCCATCGTTGGGGTCAGTGGGGGGGGGGGGAATTGCGCCCCATCGTTGGTGTCAGTGGGGGGGGGGGAATTGCGCCCCATCGTTGGGTCAGTGGGGGGGGGGGGAAATTGCGCCCCATCGTTGGGGTCAGTGGGGGGGGGGAATTGCGCCCCATCGTTGGTGTCAGTGGGGGGGGGGGGGGAATTGCGCCCCATCGTTGGCGTCAGTGGGGGGGGGGGGCCCCATCGAATGGCGCCCAGTGGGGGGGGAATTGTCGCCCCATCGTTGGGGTCAGTGGGGGGGGGGGAATTGCGCCCCATCGTTGGGTGTCAGTGGGGGGGGGGAATTGCGCCCCATCGTTGGGGTCAGTGGGGGGGGGGAATTGCGCCCCATCGTTGGTGTCAGTGGGGGGGGGAATTGCGCCCCATCGTTGGGGTCAGTGGGGGGGGGGGGGGGCGCGCCCCATCGTTGGGTGTCAGTGGGGGGGGGGAATTGCGCCCCATCGTTGGTGTCAGTGGGGGGGGGGGGGAATTGCGCCCCATCGTTGGCGTCAGTGGGGGGGGGGAATTGCGCCCCATCGTTGGGGTCAGTGGGGGGGGGAATTGCGCCCCATCGTTGGGTGTCAGTGGGGGGGGGGGGGAATGCGCCCCATCGTTGGGTCAGTGGGGGGGGGGAATTGCGCCCCATCGTGGGTCAGTGGGGGGGGGGGGGGAATTGCGCCCCATCGTTGGGGTCAGTGGGGGGGGGGAATTGCGCCCCATCGTTGGGTGTCAGTGGGGGGGGGGAATTGCGCCCCATCGTTGGGTGGGGGGGGGAATTCATCGTTGGGTGTCAGTGGGGGGGGGAATTGCGCCCCATCGTTGGGGTCA